GCTCCATACCTAGGTTTCTGGTATGGCCTCCTCCGCCTCCACCAGGCTGGAAACCCCTGTGCTACCTTCAGCCCCGGCCGGGTGCTGCACCCCTGGCAAGGTAGAGCGGCAAATGTCCTTCCCTCCTCTCCCCACTCCCCTCCATCCCTGCTGCCCATCAGTATCCATGGAGAAACAACATCCCAACCTCTGGAACTGACATTCAAGTGATTTCGAACCTGACCTCCTGGTGTCCAGCCTTGCCTGCAGCCAGCTGCTGTCATTCCCTGTCCCACAGTCTTTCTGTCCCACTGCAGGCCAAGCTGTGTTCTCTCATCCCAGAAGCCTTATCAAGGTCTACACTGTCTTCCCCCAAAGGACAAGAGCACCCATCTTTGAAGGTCTTCAGTGCAATGCCTGAGCCTTTTTTACTACACAGAAAACTTTTTCACCTGAGCTATGGTTGTTGGTGAACCTGTTTACCTCCCCAAATTAACTCATTAGCAACTTAAGGGCCGGACACTTAGCCTAAGATGATCTGGGGCCTGCAGGATGCCCAAAGGAGCTCTTTAAAATGTCTGTCAATGACCTGGAAAACCTGCCCCACCCAGCTTAGGGTGTCCTCGCCCGCCTGCCCTAGCACTTAGCTGGTGTCCTTCCTCTCTGCAGCCAGACTTGGCCAGGCTGTGTGCTCCTCCTGCAGGGGCTTCGTTTGTCTGAGCTCTTGACTTGCCATGATTCTGGCACTGGTGGACCAGCCTTTAGAAGCTACCATTGTGATGGGTTTGTTCTATTCTCTCCGGTCTCAACAATGAAGAGATGGAGGAGCCACAGGCGTCAAATTTTCAATTTGTGAATTAAGCACCAAGTTCAAACTTCAGAATCCAAACAAATGTTATTCTATGAGTTCGCAGGCGATAAGGTCCTAGAAAGTGCCTGGCATGCACGTCCCCATAGACCCCTTGTTCTTGGATGAGGCTGTCTGTGGGTACCAGGTATTCGTGGAGAGAGGTGCTCCACAGGTGGAATCCAGGTTGCTAAGACTTCTTGACCCCTTTGACCAGGGAAGCTTGTCAACCTCCTGGAAGTTCTCTTTTAGCTGAACGCCCACCTCCACCACCTTTAACCTTCTCAACCCCACCCTCACCCCCAGCCCCGTGAGAAGGCAGAGCATCCTTCCTGTTGCCTGCAACCTCCTAGTGGAGATGCCCGGGTATCTCACTGTCTGGGCTTAACAGAGAAAGACAGCTTAGGGTTTTCCCATTAATGAAAGCTCTTCCG